TATCTTCAGCTTCTAACCCCCCTGGGATTATTTCAGACCCACCATTAACCTGTTAATCAGATAAAACTTCCTAAAATAGTTTTAGGGGCCCTTTTTAGGGTTTCGTCGTGCTCCCCGGGGTCATGTTGAATAGGTGGAAATTTTCTTAATTACTCATGTTGTCTGGCTGCTTGAAACATTTTTTTTTTTCCCTTAATGAGAACGGTGTTTCCGAAAAGGTAAATGGTTACTTCACAGCATTTTGGTCCAGTGATTTGTCTGGGCTGACCTGCCTTGTAGGAGAAAAGACAAAGACAGAGCAGCGGAAATCACAAGTCTTCAAGGAGGCAAGCCTGTTTTCTGACTCCGTTGTAAGAACTAGGGTGACTTGATCAATCATAGTGTGACCAGTCTTGGTCTGTGTGATTTGAAATTCCCCTCTGTTCTGCCTCCTGGCAACACTTTCACTATTGGACATCCTCCTCTCTGACTTAGAAGTAAAAAACCCCACTGAGCCCGCCAGGGACAGACAATTCAAACCAGGTCTGCTCCTACTAGGAGCCTGGAGGCAAGCCTGAGCCCTTAGCTCCACGCGGAAGCCTCTCTTCTGGGCAGGACGTAGAACTGGCGTGTGCGTGGGGAAGCCTTCTCTGTCCTGCGTGGAGGGTCACTGTCTCATTTTCAACAGCAGTTTAACACTTGCTTGTGGAATGAATAAACGGAATGAAGAACTCTGTCAAATTTAGGCGGCTTCCGGAAGCCCCATTCACACCCGCAGAAGGAAGGAGCCGCGTCTGTACAATTCCAAATTGTGTCCTTCCGGTTTACAAAACCCGGGTCTGAAGTTCTTGCTTTTTGATAAGCTGGCTCTTGTTATCCCCAGTTAAATAGCCAAGTGTTCCCTAAATGGCTTATTTTCTGTATGTGTTTTGTTCAGGGAGCAACGTGAGTAAAGGTTTGGAAATAACACATTTCATTTATAAGCTATCCTACAGCCCACCGTTGGTAATTCGAAACGATCATCCCGTATGAATTGGTATCATTATACCTTGAGAACCTGGCTGAAAAATAACATTTGTGGACCTCTGACTTGCAGCACGGTGCTCTGAAAGCAAGAATAATACACCAGCATCTGTTCTCACGGGAGATTTCCGTTCAGCATTTTTAGAAGAGAAATATGTTAGACCGTTACGGGATCAATCTTATGAAAACTTAAACAGTTAATGGGCTCCGGGTTTTACAAAGGAGATTCTGGCATAAGGCCTAAAGTGCATGGGATCCAGAGTGCGTCTTTTGGGGAAGAGAGAACTCAAAGGAAATCAGAAATCTGACAGTTTCTGCACACATTTGGCCAAATAGTCCTTTGTTTGTAGATGCGTGATGGGCTCAGCTAGATTCCCTTGTATTCATCCCAACCCAGCTGTACCAGGGATGAAAAAGATGAAGTCATCACTGTAGGCAACGGATGAGAAAAATTGACGGGGACAGAGTGAATATCTTATTATGGTTATTGGGAGTACTGGGGTTTGGAGGAAATCCCAGGGGGGGCAGGCATGTTGGGATGGGGAAAGATATCATATGTATTTCATAGAAGGAGTCTCAGTCACAAGTGCAACTGTAGGCTCATGTGGAGATGGAAAGTGCCTGCCGGGGAAATGGAAAACCGGCGTTGCAGCTAGCTCGAACCAAGGAAACCGGTCTCCCGGAGGCTCTGAGGGCTTGGACACTTGGCTAGGCCCCCACTCTCAGCACACAGCCCATGCTGCTCAGGTGCTTCCTGACTTGTGTTGGGTTACGTGGATGAGGAGTCTTGGATGGACACGTTGCATCTGAAAAGGCACTTTTTCAGAAAGTAGCTGGCAATTTTTTCAGCAGTTTTCAGTTTACAGGAACATTGAGTCTTAGGTTCCGTTTTCCTTTTATCCCTTTCTTTTGCACAGGTCCCCTTAGAATACTGTGCATTGGACTGGTGCATTGGGTGCCGTCCAGCCGACGCGGATGCTTATTGTCGGCTAGACGTCAGACTTTCTAGAAGGGTTCACTGTTGCAGTCCTGCATTTTGTGGGTTTGGGCTGCGGAATAATGACACGTACCCATCATCATGGGTGTCTTTTCGTTGCCAGGAGCCTCGTTTGTTTTTTTTTTTTTTTTTTTTTAGCGGTGTAACATGCCATTGTCTGGTGGACTGTGGTTCATCGAGACTGCTACTAAAGGACAGCTTGGTTGTTTTCAAGATTTTGAGAGTAATACATAAAACTGCTGTAAATATGTGTGTGCAGGTTTTGTGTCCATACAGATCATCCTGGATGGCACATTTTTTTAAAAAAATCATGCTAAGTTTTTTCTGCATCTATGGAAGGTGAATTCTGTTTGAAATGGAGGTGCATGGTGGCACACCTTTTGCAAACTAATAATTACAACACAAGGAAGTAAAATCTTTAGTCCTTTGCTAACTGATAAGTCCATGTTATTTGACTTTGAAATTGCTGTATGAGTCAAAAGGGGCATTTTCCCTTCAAAGTGTTCAGTGGGGTTATATTGTCTTAGTTCTTCTTCCTGTGTCACATCATTGAACTAATTACCATATTCGGAACGATATAATGATAGAGAATGATAATTCAGCTGAAATTAGTGTTAGCATCAGATGTCCCCGGGCATGCAGGTGATTTGCTTTGCTGTACTAACACCACAGTCAGTGTCTGCCTGATCGTGATTTATCCCGGGACACAAATGCAAAAACAGCCCTCGTGCATCTTATTCCTTGGTTCCGAGTATGACATTTATGTATATGGTGTGGCTTCTTGGGATGTTTATTATAGGAGTTAAAAAATTGAAGACTGAACAATGCCTGTGACATTTGCAATCAAATAGCAAAAATTGGTTTTGTAACAGGATGACTCGGGTTCTGCGTTGGCTTTGGGAATCATCTGTGCCCCCTCCATGGAAAGCTGAGTCTGCAGCCCCTGCCCTCCATTTCTGGACCACCTAAGTGAAGGGGCAGCCCCAAAGCAGAGGGCCTGTGCCCACTGGGGCACGACCTGTGTGCCGGGTCGGATGTGCTCATTTTCACTCATTATTCCTGCTGTAAGGGATTCCTGCCGTCCTTATAAAATTTCAATGGCTCTGGTGATCCTGAAGTCATGAGATGTGTCCCCTGCCCCAAATCTGGTTCCCATATCTAGACTAAGGATGCCACACTTGCAGCAAGAGGCGATGAAAAGGTTTATTACACACATGATGAGGCTTTCTTGGAGGGGAGCAAGGTTGCGCCCCGGCTGGTCTGAAAATAGCTTGAGAGGGATGAGAGAGGAGAATGATTGACCTTTCACGGTGCGAAGAGTTCCAGTTCGAGTGGAGCATTTCAGCAGGGGCTGCCGTAGCTTGAATGTCCCCACAGCACTGCACGGGGCAGCACCCAAGCTTTCTTCTTGGCTCGCTGGGCACGAGTCGCATAAGGACTGGCCAGGCTTAAGAGCTCTTCCCCTTCAAACATCAGAAGTGGAGTCAGACCCTAATACCTCAATCAGAGTCAAAGTGCACGCGTTAACTTACAAAATTAAGCTGGCAGGGTAGGAGTATATTGATCTCTGTGGAGATCACAAATTGGTTCCTCTACTTTGACCATCCTTTACTTCCAATCCGACTGCTGACCACAGCTTCCTAATCGGAAAGTCCATATTTCAGCCCCTTCTGTCTCCAAGCAGCTTCTGTTTCTTTCTTACGGAAAATGTAGACATAAACAGAAGTAGGTAGAAAAGTACAGTAAACTTGCACACATCCCTAATGTGCATTGAACAGCCGTGAAGTCATGCCTACCCTTGTTTAATCTATACCCCATCCTCCCTTCCCTTCATCCTGTGCTAATTTGAAGAAGAGAAGCAGCTGTCCTACCATTTTGTCCAGGCATCTCTAACTTCCCTCCTTGTGGAATCTCATCAAGTCCATCCACTTAAGTATGTAAGGTTTGTGGGTCTGGCCTTTGGAAGCAATTTTGACCCTTATCCTGGCTTTTCAACTTCCTAACAGTGTGAGCTTCAGCAGGTCACAGTCTTTACAAAGCCCTGTAGTTCCCATCGGAGAAGCAGAGCCTACAGCGTTTACTCCTAGGGTTTCAGGTGCTCTGAATAAGACAGTGTGTCAAAAAGGGGTTCGAGAGCAGAGCGCTCAGTAGATGGTCCCTGTTACTCATACTGCTTTGGTGGGAACTGTGGTTCTGTTGAAGCGTTGCTGTGTGGGCGGGGTGGTATATGATCTCAGGTGCGGGGAGGAAGATGAGGACAAGAAAAAGGAAAGTGTAAGGAAAACTGGAACTCAGAATGGATAGTTCTACTGTATCTACGAGTATCTACTGTAATTATCAAAAGAGGGCGTTCATCATACAATATTTATAGACATCTTTCTTCATATAAGAACATTGGGGCATCTGGGTGGCAGAATTGGTTAAGTGTCTGCCTCTTGGTTTCCGCTCAGGTCGTGATCTCAGGGGTGAGATGGAGCCCAGCGTCAAACTCTGTGCTTTCCATGGAGTCCATTTGTGATTCTCTCCCTCCCTCGGCCCCCTCCCTGACCCCCACTTTCTGTCACTCTCTCTCAAAAATAAATAACTACATCGTTTTAAAATAGAAGAACATTGATGGGTTGGTGTTTTGCACAGAATACGAGAAATTGATACATTTCTTTGTGTCTTCAGGACCGTCGCACCTTCCTCTCAGCAGGGCATGACCTCAGGGCCTGATGCTTCCAGAATGCTTTCTCGTGTCTCTGTAGAGAACCACTGCATGATGCCTAGAGTTTCAAATGATGGTTATAGGTGACACTTGTTCAGTGACTAGACCTTCTGAGAACCCTGCCACAGGTGGGCCTTCTGATTGCATTGCGTCCCCCGTGGGGATGAGTGTGGGACCGCTGCAGTGTACGGGAGAATTCCCTTCCCATCTTCAGAGGAGCGGATGAGAGCAAGTGATCTCCTTTTCTTTTGTAAAAATGAAACTGTGTAAAAATGGGACATTTCTCTCCTTTAGGACAGATCTTGAATGTCCTAGAGGAGTTGAAACTGGCTAATAACACCCTCGTCTACTTCACGTCGGATCAAGGAGCCCATGTGGAGGAGGTGAACACCAAGGGAGAAGTCCACGGAGGCAGTAACGGCATCTATAAAGGTAAGGTATCTGTGAAGGCGGGAAACGCCCATGTCAGTAAGCTCTGGCCTCCCAGCTCACATGTTGGGCATCTTTGCTTGGACCTTTGCACTTTGACATTGTCCCACTGCTACTTTCCCATATACGGACTTTACTGCATTTCAGGCACTGAACAGGAAAGTGACCAGGTCCTGTTTCTGTTTGGTCTCCATGGAAATGAAAACCACACTGTCTAGGTCAAGACATTAGAATGAGGGCATTTTCATTTAGGATAAATGCAGCCTCTCCACTGGATAGCTGGTTAAAACAATAAGCTCATGTATTAGTTTCCTGTTGCTGCTACAACAAAACAACACAGACTTCTGGCTTAACACAACACAGTTTATGAAAGTTACTGTTCTGGAGGTCCAAAGTCTGAGATGGGTCTCACTGGTCTAAAATCAGGGTGACAGCAAGGCCGTGTCTTTCTGCAGGCTCTGGGGAAGCATCTGTTGTCGTGTCTTCTCCAGCTTCTGGAGGTCACCTGTGTTCTTTGGCTAATGACCGCTTCTTGCATCTTTAAAGCCAACAATGCAAAAATCTCCAGACCTCCCTCCCTCTCTCTCTGACCTCTGATTCCATAACGCCATCACCTTCACTCACTCACTGTGACATACGGTTCCTCAAGGACTGCTGTGTTTCTCTTTGTCCCATCCAGATCGTGCAACTGATTTTCCCATCTCAGGACTCTCATCACCTCCCAGACTCCCTTTTGCTGTGGACGGTCGCATAGGCACTGGTTCTGGGGAATGAGAATGTGCCCCTCTTTGGGGGATGATTCTCCCTATCGCTGTGTAGTTTTGGGCTCATGCCTCATTCCTGACACAGCCTCAGAGAAGCCACCACCATGACCAGTCACACTAGTCACTGGGGATATGAGCTATTCCAAAGTAGACCCAACCCAGCTGCTGACCCCCAGGTAGCTTGTAGCGTGCACACATGTCTCGGTGAATTCAAGACATACCAATCTTGTTAAGATAAAATGCGAGCCCTTTCACAGACTTAGAGGAGAGGCCCAAAGGGGCATATCCGTGCTAAGGGTTAGGACACTCTCCTGAATCTGTGGTGGGTGTGGGGTTTTGGTCGGTAGGACAGATTGAATGGAGGTGACCGTGGTGAACCATTGTGTCCCAGCGGGCGAGGGCCACCTCCATAAGACGACACGGGAAAGCAGGTGACGAAAATTCCCCCAGCGTAAGGTGAAACATTCTCTCCTATGGGTGTATCGGAGATTTCCAGGGATGCTGGGAATCTGAGTTTATGTCCAAAGATATGAAAGGATAATAAGTAGGATGCTTGGGTCCATTAATTGGCTTCAGAAATATTGATTTGGCTGTGCATCTGGCCCTGGGCCTCAGGCATCAATAAATATAAAACATGGTCTGTGCCCTGAAGGAACTCTGGATTTGCTCGTGGTTGGCTGGGTGCGTAGCGGGAAGCCTAGACCATGGAATTTAGGAAGGGCGTCAGTATGTATAGGCACAAGAAGTAGTGGTGTGTCCGGCCAGAAGAGCATCAGGAGGCCCCGGGACCCTGGAGATGTTTGCCAAGTTGGCAAGACTGGAGGGAGTTAGCCACCGAGCGTGCCTCCTCTCTTGTTCTGCTTCCAGCTCTGTCAGTGCTCATGCACTCTGGTCCTGGGTGTCCGAAGAAGCCCACGGCTTGGTCTGCCCCGTGCAGGAGCTGGAGAAGGCTGCGTCGCAGACAGCGAGGCAGAGAGGCGGGGAGGGGGAGTGTGTCATCTGTCCCAAATGCGCACACCTTGCACTTCTGTTTACCTCTCTCTGCGTGTGTCTGCCATCCTCTTCTGAGGCCCTGGGGGCAGGGACTCTGCTTCCATGTTCGGTTCCCTGGAACCCCAGACAGAAGGATCCCTGCTGAGTGCTGGTCACGATGACCCTCAGAGGATGTGCACACCCTCTCCTTTGCCTGCCACTGTTGGCTCACCAGGGCCCGGCCCCCAAATGCTGTTGGACGCGGGTCAGCTCGATGAACCGCCTCTGTTTCATCAGCCCAGGATTGACCGGCCCCAGTAGCCCCGCTTCCGGCCAGCCCCGCTCCTGCCCCCGCCGTTCATCATGCCATTTTAGTGTAGGGACAAGTGGAAACGTGGATTCCCATATGTTAAGATTAGGTGTATGGCCAGACTTGGGCGAGGTCGTGGCCTGTGTGGACAGAGTTGTTTGTACCTTATTTTAGTGATGACAGCCTCTCTAAAGGTGGACTTACAGGTTGTACCTCATGCTCACGTCCAGCCTTTCATTCAGTCTTCCCCCAAAGGACATTCCAAAGTAGGTTAGCGGCTGCCAATGAGACGCAGTAATACGTGGATACAATACTTTGTATCCAATACTTTGGATACAAAGTAATATGTGCTTTCAGAAAGTCACATACATGAGGGCTTGGAGCCTCCATCCACAAAGACGAGCAGAGGGCCAGCCGCAGATGGATCTCGGGATGCGATATACGCGAGACAAGGAGATGCAATTAGCATTTGACTTTGATGGTTGACTCTTGTGAAGACATCAGTGGGGTCGATCGGAAAGAGAATGTCAAGGGTCTGGAAGGACGGTCCCAAACCAAGGTCATCGCAGAGCCCGAACAGCACGTCAGAGCTCCCCGATTTTCTTTTTTTGGAAGAAACATATTGGGCGTGTGAGCAGTGTTTCGCTATTTTACTTGAGTGCTGGAAATACCTCCAGTATGGGACACTGTATTAATATCTCTGTGGCTAAGCATTATCCCTTTGTCACATTGAGTTGGAGTCAGGCTCACAGTGCAACATTGTTAAAATATGCTGCCCTGAAAGGAAGCTGTGGTTTCCTTCTAGCGGCAGGAGAGGAAGGGAGACTCTGGTCGATGTCACGTCTCGTTTTGTAGAGCTGGAAACCCCAGCACCCTCGGACACAGAGGAATCACACTGTTGAAACTCACTGATCAAAAGAGCATCTTTTTCTGAGCGGTTAATGATTTTTAGTCTTAATCCAAACCTCTCGGGAAGATCGTTAGTGTGTGAGCAAGTGCTTCTACCATTTTACCCAGGCACATCTACGTCCCTGATGAAGTCTGCGGGTGAATTGGATAGAATGGGTACAGTTAAATCATCCTTCTCTAGAATTCAACCCCATCTTCCTTTTAATCATAGGGACAGGAGATCCCTCTGGTCATCTTCATTTTAAAGAAAAAATAATACTATACGGGTGAGGGACTAGTGACACCATTAATCCTTTCTCTCATGTTTTTTTTAAAGGAAATGTGTCTGCAGCCAGCATGAATCTCCTGTTTGGATTTAGAGAAGGGTAAACTGAGTTGACCAAAGGCTGTGACATCAAAGGAAGTTGAGAGATAGTAGTAGGGTCCAGTGTGGGTTTTGAATACGAACGCTAGTGAAATCGTAGCAGTCTTGGAAACGTCTTCATCCTAACAGCTCCCGATACACTGACTTCTGAGAGCCTCCTAAATCCATTTTCCTCTGATGGTCCACATGTTCTTAATGATTGGGTCGGCCTCATACACCTAGCCCACCAAGTAACAATCCACTTCCTGCCTAAGATTTCAGGAAGCATGGGCTCCGTTAGTGTTTCTACTTAATCTGACAGGGTTCCCATACTGAGCTGTTAGGATTTTTCCCAAGAGCAAGATAAATAAATGATCAACAAAATGCCAGAACGTTTACATTGGCCTGTGACCAACGTATAGCGGTTAAATGTAAGGATTCCAGCCGGGCTGTTGAAATATTAAAAATGTGCACACTGCTAATTTGAGAGTGGGGATTAGGAATCAGGGCTTTGAAGGAACAGAGGATTTGCGATCTCTGTGCGAACCTGAACTATCTCTGGGACGCAGAGGTCGTGGCTCTCCCATGTGTGAACCTGCACACTGGGAAGGGGTTGGGTCTGTGGTGAAGCGGTCCTCAAAAGGCTGTCTTCCTTCTGCACCCTCACCGGGACCAGGGCTCAAGACAATCGTCCCATAAATAGGGGTTCTCTTGTGGAAGGAGCAGCTGGCCCCAGTCTATGTCACCTGGTGTCTAAGTCAACGTATGAAGCCCATAGAGCCCTTCTTGTAGTGATAGGCGTAAGCAAACTCTTGGAACCCAGGCCTCGCTCTTCCTGCTCCATTGACCTGCCTCTCCAAGGTGGAGACCCCTGGGCCTCTGTTCTGAGTCCCCTCACTTCTTTACCTACACCCTCACACTGTATGATGGCATCCAAAGGCATGACCTCAAGTGCCACTTGGAGTGCTGGTAACCCCCACAGCCAGCCTTGACCCTGGCTGGGAACCCCGGACTCCTCCATCCGACTGCCCACATGACATGGGATATGGGTGACGTGGGATGGGATGTAGACACATCCTAATGAGCAAATCTGCTCTAGAGATCTCCTTCCCCAAGACCACATGTCTCGTGGGCTAACCCATCTCATTGATTTGGACCCGTCTTCACTCACTGATCCCAACCCCAAAGCTGGGTTCTTGGAACTCCCAAAGCCTCTTTCTGTGACCTTCTCTGTATCTCCTACTCCAACAGCATGTCCTGTAAACTTAATCTTCTAAGCATACCTGACATTGACCCGGTTGTCTCACCGCCAACCATTACAGCCTCCTCCAGGCCAGCAGCACGGCCGGGTCATTGGCCCAGTGGGTTTCCAGATGGTCTTCCTGGTTCTTCTTTGTTGTCAATCCACTCTCCCCCCGGCACTGGCTGAACTTTAGTACACGCGCGGTCACTGTACTGTGTTGCGTCTCCTAGGGCGGCCTCAAAGTGGATGGCTTCCAAGCAGCGAGTTATTCTCTCTCTCACTTCCGGACACCAGAAGTCCTAAATCAGGGGTTAGCAGGGCCATGCTCCTTCTGAAGGCTTTACTGGAGAATCTCTCCTTGCCTTCTGGTGTCTCTGGCAGTCTTTGGCTTTCCTTTGCCTGTGGACACATGACTCCAATCTCTGCATTCTCTGTCTTGTTGAGGCTTTTCCTCTTTTCTTC